CCTGATGGGCGTGGGAGCGGCAGGGCCTCTGCGGGCCGGATCCACTCGCTTGGCAGGCCGGATCCGGCCCACGCGGCCCCTTTGCTCACCCCTGGGTTAGAACTTGTGGGTCGGGACCCCCAAAGTGGGTCAGGCTCCTGTTTCACTGGGGTTGCCAGGGCTGGTGTTGGCCCCGGACCCCAGCAAAACTGAACCTCAGGCCTAAACCCCATGTTCAGGGCTAAGGTTACATGTCCCCCCCCGCGCACACACACGCACACAAGGCAGAAGCCCTGGGGATTTAGCTTTGCCCCCTCCCCAGCCCAGGGCCAGCAGTGGAGCTTGGTCTTTGCCCCCTGACCCCGGGGTCACGTAATAATTGTCATTGTCCAAAGGGGAGCCAGAGCGATGAAGTTTGAGAACCGTGGAACTCAGGAGTACAGCTGTGAACGGCTGCGCACAGCTGTGCTCTCAACCCCGGCACACCTCTAACTTCTCCCGGTCCTAATGCTGCTCCTTGGCAGTGAGCGTCCCCGAATGCTCACACAAACATCCCACAAACATCTCGCTGCATCTTCCCGCTTAACAGCACAATTGCTCTTCTGTACAGATCTAAACCAGCTACTGGCTAACACCACACACCTTAAATTAGGGTTGCCAGATGGTTGAAACAAAAATACCGCCCCCGCCCCCCCCAAAAAAAACCACCAGGAAAAAATTCTGTTAAAGTAAAGGGGGAGAGGGGGAGATCAAAGTTGTTGAGCAAAAAAAGAAAAAAAGGACTCGAAGACTTATAAAGCAAAAAATGATTAAAATAAAACAGCATTAAAACAGCATGTCTGGCAGCCTTGCAGAACCAGGTAAGCATGAGGTCAGGGGGCTGGGGGTGTTGGGAGCCAGAGAGAGTTGGGGGTGGGGAAGGCCGGGCCCTGAGTGTTTGTAGGGTTGCCCGGCATTTTCGCCTCCTGGCCGGGGAAAAAATCAGAAAGTACCGGACATTTTAGGTGTCCAGTATTCTCTGAATTTTTTTTTACTGGACAGGAGGCAAAAATACTGGACTGTCCAGGTGAATACCAGACACCTGGCAACCCTACCTTAAACTCTCTCCCCATCTAGTACATTCCCATAAACCAATGTGTCGGCTAGCTAGAGAGGAGAAGTTACCAGCACATCTCTCCGAAGTGAGTTTTTAACAAATGCCGCTTTTCCCTGAAGGTTGGCAAGTCTCCGAGTCTTTCAAGGATGTTAAATCTCCTCCTGTGGTCTTCTCAGTACCTGCCTTTCCGTAGTCGGTGGGGTTCTCTTGGTCAGCTGGGACGTGCCAGAGCTCACCTCAGCTGTCCATGTGTTAGAACTTGCTGGGATTTCTCAGAGAGCCTTTGGATTACGTCAAAATGTGTCCCCCTGGTT